TAAGTATAAACATGGACATGAACACAGGAAATGGGCACAAATAAATGGGGACAATAGGACAGGGACGGTAGGCTTGCTGGTGCGGCGCTCTTATGCATGCCCCCTACAGACCTCTTAGGAAAGGGGTGAGGTCCACACTAGACAGCTTAAAGTTACAGGGGTTTGAGGATGTAACAACAGAGTCTGGTAATGCATTTCAGGCTGAAGTCATATTTTCTGCAATCGAGTTTGAAGCGGTTTACCTTTAGTTTATATCTATTGTTTGCCCGTGTATTATTGCAGTTGAAGCTGAATTAGTCATTGACAGGTAGGACGTTGTAGCATACAATTTTGGGTACTACCCTTAGGTCAGACCTTAGTCAGTGTAGTTACAATCACAAAATAATATTTGCACAGTCATAACCTCCTAGATCTAACTTTATTGACAGGATTTACAGCAATACATTCTTGTTGCTAGTCTTTAAAGCTAGTTGTTTATGTATTGACATGCTGTAAAGTGTTGAAGACCTGATTGTACTACCACTATGAGGGATGGAGACCTTTGTTCAATATGGTTGTATATTATTTGGGACTGATGCCCAGATCCCCCCTCTTGTATTATTTTGTGTTGTGTTTTAATGGTTATATATTGTTTGCCACCCAGAGTTGGTTTGAAGATGGGTAGCTCATAAATTGCATACACGCAAATCATACAATCAAAATAGTCTTAGTTTATTTGACTGATTTGTAACTTCTAAATGCATAGCTTCATTTAGAATTTGTATACAATAGAAGTGCAACACCATAATGATATTGTTCCCTGGCCTACTAATATTAAGATGTAGATAAATTAGAATTCTCATCCTGGCAGAAATCTGTTCTAAGACATCTGAAGAATATCAGATTGCCAAACCCTTTGTAGAGTAGCAGTAACCTAATTTTAGGCAAAATATTTTTGTGCAATCAGATGACAGTCATGACACTCATATTTAACTTGAACTTTGCAGGAAACGGAGAAGATAATTGCGGAGCTGAATGAAACATGGGAAGAAAAACTGCGTAGAACAGAAGCAATTCGTATGGAGAGGTAGGAATAAGGCAGCTAGTCTAGTCTAGAACATTGTTAATGCCACAAGATTCAACATTTTGTCATAATATCTTTTTCTTTTGATAGCTAATTGTTACTTTTATAGCTGCTGGCTGAAAGTGCTACATGAAGCGTTATTTTATAAAACAAAAGAGTTTTTGTGGGGCTGAATGGAATACCCTCCAGTTCAATATCATTTCAGGAAGGGTATCCACATCATCCTTATAACTGTGACAAGAAAATATCCCATGTGATGGCACTATAACATAATGATTTCCTGTTAAAATTCAAGTTAGAATAGTCATCACATGAATGATGTTTCAATCTGTAAATTAGCTATGGTGAGTAGAAAGTCACAGATTCCCTTTAAATATTAGTTTTTTATATTAATTAAAAGCATGTCAACTGTTGGAGAGAGTTGTTGAAGTCTAACAATATCAGTGATAGCAAACCTTTCAGGCTCGACATGTCAAAAATTCAGAAAATGCCCTCTTTGATTCTGCTGGCTCTTATTTCTAAATCATCTCTTACTATGTTATCTTGTTTTAGCAAAATTTTCAAAAATTCATCCTTCCTTCCTTCCTTCCTTCCTTCCTTCCTTCCTTCCTTCCTTCCTTCCTTCCTTCCTT